ATTTCTATCACAAATACCCTAAATCTACTGAAGTACAAAGGTATCAGGCCTTTAAATATTTGTGTTTCTTATCAAAGATTTTGAATCAAATACGAAGGCTTAGATGGTACCATTCCATTCAGACAATTGCAATAGACATTACTTCATGTGAGCCCTAAGTAAGACTAAGCCCTAACTAAGCACTACTACTAGAAACCACATACACCTAACATACTGTACCTTGATTTGACTTGCAACTTTGAAGCCCAGGCTTAAGTCAATTTGGACCTTGCCTGATTGCGAGCCTACAGAAAAAATTAACCTTTGGTTCTAAAGTTTGTTTTCTAAGGTTCAAAAATAGCACCGAAATAATACTGTACACATAGGGTTAATGTTTCCTGCGTGTGCTAGACGACACGACATAGTTACCAACCTGAGGGATTTGAAATGCGTGACTACACCAGTTTGCTGGGGGGTGGGGGGAGCGCCGGGCCCCTTTGGCGTCCAAAGGCGGACCCCTTGTGGGGTCCAGGGTGCGAGGGCCCTGGCTCTCCGACAATCTGAGAATTTTTAAGCTGTTTTAAAACGATTTCAGTTAGCGTTTGTTGACAATACTGGATACTTTACATAAACAAGAATATTTTTAATAAAGCCACGTAAAATTTGAGTTTCAATGTACCTTATGTTTAAGTTGAGCACCCTAACTATGTACACAAACATTTCATTACAAAAAATGAAGAGGTATACTGATAATTCTTTTAACGCGTCAGTGAATTAAGTATTGACGTAATTGACGTAAATAATGTCTAATGAATCAAGTTACTGCATGACTGTTTTCGTATTTTTAATCAAACCAATTTCTTCTAATTTTAAATACATTTCCCCACTCATGATAAAATGTTATCACTCAAATACTTTTTCTAAATTCATGACAAATTTGTGATCACCCATGTGTTTCTGCAAATTGGTGTTTCAACTAAAATCACTTTGAAATGCAGGACCGTCCCGCAGGAGGCGAGATGGTTGGTAACTATGACACGAGCCGTCTGTTGATTGTTGGTGGCAGTCCCGAGTGGATCATCAACTTAAAAAAAAAGGATCCATTGTGGGCGCGGCGTGATGTTGCGTTCTCCATAGAATTGCGTCGGCTGACTACAGTCGGGCACAGTGAGTACCTGGGTTTGGAGTTTCCTCAATCAGTGGTAATGACTGGCACACAATTTCTTTATTTATGCTCACATAAATGCTTAATTATTTTTCTTTACACCAGTAAAAAAGATTACTAACGGACGTGTAAGGTGCCATCGTGAATTAGTATCGTCTACAAACTTTACAGCCTAACACATACTTGATTTAGTCCGGTAGTCACTTGTATATAAAAAGAATAAGCAGGTCGGTTTCCAGCAATGGAATTCGGAACATTGACGCAAAGTTAAATATCATTATTTAAATAATAATATTATTTTTGGGGATAACATTGGGTTCCATTTTCGAGAAATTCCTAATCCATAGGCAACAACAAACAAGAGGTGATTTTATAAGTCATGCAATAATTTTTGAATTGTCATGCATGATGTATAAGTGTGTTCACATACATATTGTCCAACGTCTTGTCACTAAAGTTGAATCAGTAACTGATAGAAATAACCACAAACCGCAACTACTAAAGGTTTTCACATCAAAATTCATAGTCACATATTGAAATGATAGGTGCTTGTTTTCCTGATATTTCCAAATGTCTTGACACAATTGATCACACCGTATTTTATTTACTGAAGCTAAATAAATGTAAAGGTAGTCGATTGAACCTGTCCATCCCCCTTTCTTAATCATTGAGGGCCAAACTGTGCAATGCATTGCCGGGATCGCCACTCTTTCTCACCGGCATATGCCGGTACCCGTTTATACTCCTGGGTAAAAAGAGAGACAAACGTTGATAAATTGTTTTGCCCAAGAACACAAACGACTTGCACAGAAAAAATTTCGAACCCTCTGACCATTGAGGTATTATTGAGAAGGAGATCGCTCGGCAACAGATCCCTTTGACGCGACAAACCTATGTGTTCCCCGCTTTTGGATCGCGTGCGGGCGTATTATCCTATAATTCACATTTTTTCGTTAGCAACAACTTGGCAACGACATGCATTTATACGCTTCCAGCAGAGCAGTTGTGCAATAGAATGTTTGATTTTAACCCATTAAAATCTTTATAATGAACAATGTTCCCCTGATTAGATTTTTTTCGGGCTTTTGGTATGTTATTATTTGTATATTTCAGGAAAGTATTCCATAAAATATTTATGTTAAAATTACTTCTGTGTTCATTACAATTTTGTCTAAAGATTGACTGGTTCGACTATAAAGCTAAGTCAGCGTAAAACTGAAAAATACTCAGATTTTGGATTCATTTTTCGAATAGTTAACCCTCGTTAACCCTAAATCGACTTAGTTTATTATAATCCTTAATCATTTATTAATTAATATCTGTTAAAATTAGAAATGGCGAATTTTGGCCAATTTATGAAAATTGAAGTTGAAATATTCTATACTTTTATAGGTCATGTAAATGTTCCATTAAATTCGAAACTTTTCTTGGAGGAAAATATTAATATGTTTGATATTTTATGAGAGATAAATGTATCAGCTTCAAAATAGCAAAGATTGCACAGCCATAGTGATTGACAGTATGTAGTGCGCATTGAGAAAAGAAGGTGCTCTCCATTTCGTCATGTTCAATTTTTTGGTCAACTATGCCTGCTGAAAATTTGATGGCGGGGAACACATGGGCTTCAAAGGCATCGCGCAAACGTTCTTTATGCGCTGCGGCAACTTTGATCTTGGTTCATTTGCATAGCGCTGCGTGCGCGTGGCTCTGCCGAGTGATCTCCTTCTCAATAATACCTCCATGCTCTGACTAAGAAGTTGAGAGTCCGAGCCTCAGCCGCTGTGCCAACGCTTCCATCATATATTATAAATAGTTCAAAAACTATCTCAGCAATAGGAAACTGTAGGTAAGTGGTGATTCTTCGCTGTTGGAAGAAATGATTAAAATAAACAAATTAAAGAAATTAAAACAAATTAAAAGCCACTAATGTCGATATATGTGTTCTCAGGGTAGTTCACTTGGTCCTATTTTATTTTTAATTTCACCGGGTATTTCTAGGATATTTTCTGATGACGTACTTTAGTTGTTTATGCTAATGGTAGCTCAAGAAATGAAATTAACAAAAACCTACAAAATAATTAGAGAAAATAAATTCATTCTAGATTCAATAGAATATTTCTGATTTTTTTTTTTCAAAAAATGGAAATAAAAATTGACAACTGAGTTAGACCAAAAGAAAAATTTCAGTAATATGTTACAGAATAATTATCGTGAACAATGTTAAACCCTGGTATTATGAGAATAGACTTTGTCTAAAATTATAAAAAGGTTATGTCAATCAGAATTCACTGTGCACGAAGCATTATATTGATATTTAAGCCGGTTTCTCACTGTGTGCGACGACAATGCGGTGGCATTGCGATGAAGAACGCAAGCAAAGACGCGGACCCAATGGATCGTCTTTTTAATGAGGATGCGTTCCAATTGCCACTGACAATCAGCAGATGGCGTTGCATCGTCACGACCGTCGCACGACGCTGTGAGTGTCCGGCTTTATTAGTTCTTTATACTGGGTTTCCTTTTAAGTAAAATGTTATGTTCTCTCAGGATTAACAACACAAAATATCAAATAACTTTGAAATAGAAGAATGACGAAAAAGAATTGCATACCCCCTGCATTCCATATTTTTAGTATCCTAAAAAGTAAATCTTCTTTTACCAGAGAGAGGACTCTGCCACTGAAGCATTTGTTATCTAAACTGTGAATACTTTTTATTCTCCTTTCACTAAGAAAAGACCAACCAAGAGAAACATACATTTGAACTAAATCTGTTTTTTGTGATCAACCATAAGGATAACAGGTGCTGCTCTATGCTGTAATGATTTTTGTAATTTATCCAATAAACTCTTTCCACAGTGTTTTTTCAAACTAAATAACAATAATCAGTTTCTTATATAAATTATTTTATTACTTAATTTTCCCGGCCACTTAATTTTAAAATTTTAAATTTTCAACTTCCATTTTAATGACTGTTATCCATTTTGAAGTCTTATTTTATATGTATTTTATGTCTTGTATATAATATATAGATTTATTTTATGTTGGAATTACTGACTCCTGAGTCATAGTGACTTTTGTCGCTTTAGTTTTTCCTGACCATTTGTTTTATTGTTTGTTCTAATTCTTGTACAGTATTTTTTTTGGTCGAATAAATAAATGAAATGAAATGAAATACTGTAATGGTAAAATGAGAGATTTGTAATGTTAAATTAGAAAGTTTTTATCAATATAACGACGTAACCTGCCTAGAAGAGAAAATCTACAGCTCACCTTACAACATAGTTTGTCCACATGCACATTTAAGAAGAAAGTGATGGAATAAACCATATACCAAGATATTTAAAACTGTCAAAGACTTGAATGCAAATTCCCCAATCCTATGGTCAAGATCTGCTGCACCATATGATTTCTTTTAGGAACCAAATAAATGCGATTTTACTTTGCCATATTATCTGTAAATCTGGATATTTTCACCTTAGACGAATTTGATCTATTCGTCCATACATTTCACGCTCCACTGCTGAAGTACTTGTCCATTTTTTTATCACCTCCAAAATTGATTTCTGTAAATCTTTATTGTATGGGACCTCTACTATTCAATTAAGACCCTTACTAAAGCTTCAGAACTCAGCAGCACGTGTTGTCTGTCTCACTAAACTTCGTGATCATGTTTCACCTATCCTCAAAGACCTTCATTGGCTACTGATATGTAAACGCCTAAACTTCAAAATTATTCTTCTCACTCATAAATGCATATATGGCTACGCCCCACACTATCTTTCTTCATCAATCTCACAACAATTATCTTCACGTTCCACAAGACAGTCAAATTCTCTCAGGTTATATGTCCCCAGAGTGCTGCATGTTCGTACTGGCGAATGGTCTTTCTCTTTTGCCACTCCGAAATTATGGAACTCTCTTCCACCTAATCTCAGATCAACTTCTGATACTAATGCATTCAAGACCCTCCTTAAAACCTGTCTCTTTAATCAATAACTCTTTTATCTTTAAGCGCCAGTGACAAAAAATTATTTTTTTAACAGGCGCTATACAAATTCTCCAATTTATTATTATTATTATTATTATTATTATTATTATTATTATTATTATTATTATTATTATTATATTTGAAGAGAGTTTTTTTTTCTCATGAAGGCAGTCACATACACTGTTTTTCAGCATACATAAGACAGAACACTTCATAATAATATAATTAGTCTTGACTTTATTTTTTATTAGATGCTATTTCACCTAACGTGACATGTCCAGACGATATTACGGTTGATACTGATGTAGGTGTTAATACAGCAAACGTTACATGGGAATCTGCATTTGCTACTGATAACTGCTGTCTCGATAACATTAATTTGTCATATAATGCTACGAATGGCAGTGATTTTGAAATTGGAGTTACTAAAATTGCAACCACAGCAGTGGACTGCTATGGCAACCATGATGAATGTGTCTTCCTTATTAATGTTGAAGGTAACATATAATTTATTAGATATTATAAATATAAATTAAACTTTTGTACAAAAGAACTTACGTTTTAAAGCTTTTGACTATCACTGTAGTTGTTGTTTTCTGCTTTATCCAGAGATACTTTTAATTTATATTTATAATTGTCAACCTGGATAGATGAATGTGCATCAGTTTATTAGATATTGTTTAACTGGAAGAGTGTTTTTGCTGAAACATACACTTTAACGAGAAAACTATTCAAATTCAAGATTTTATCAATAACGTTTAACTGTGCAATTAAAAGTCTTGATTTAATGTTGCTGTAATGTTTTCTCTATCAGACAATGAAGCACCAGTGCTTGAATGTCCCCCAAACCAAAACTTAACTGCAGATTCTAACTGTATGGCAACCACTACCTGGATGCCATCGACTGTCACAGACAACTCTGGGGATACTTTCATACCGGAATGTGATTATGTAAATGGAAGCACCTTTTCTGACTACATTACAATTGTAACCTGTAATGCCACAGACAATTATGACAACACTGGAAATTGTACCTTTACAATTAATATCATTGGTAAGATTTATTTATATATGACTAATTGTAGGTTTGTAATAGGCCTACTATCTGAACCGAGTCCACATAATGGTGCGCCATATAAATACAAGAATTTTTAACACTTGGATACAATTAAGTTTTCATTTAAATGGAGCTGCTGTCTGATGTTCTTAAATTAAATTTGATAATAAATTTGGAAAATTACAACCACAGTTGACACATTCTATTTTTAGAGCACCCAGAGGTAACAGTGGTGAGGTAGTGTAACATTGCCTAATGTAGCATATAGTATTTAGTTTGGTCTGGTAGCAATATGACCGAAAACAGTTGGATTGATTAAAGAAGGAATGGGCAGTTAGGAGACGTAATCAGCAACCACAGTGTTTTAGGGCCAAGCGGCTGAGAAAGCCTGGAAAATCACAAAGGTGTACAAGCAGTAATATCGCGTGGTTCACTTGGAGAATGCCATTGTTATAATATAGTAACGTCACAAAAAAATACATTTTCTCAAAGTTTGACTTACAAACAGTGGCGTAACTAGGTTGCGAGGGGCCCTGGTTCAAGAGTGCAGCCGGAGCTCTTTGCGCATGGATTGGTTTTGGAGCAGAGGTCCTTACGATTTTTATAACATTTTGACAATAAGTCTTTCGATTTTTTTATTTTATATCTTTGAAGAGCCGGCTATTGGTTGGACTGACCGTAATAATAAGCATTTGTACTTCCTTATGACAAAAAGAAAACGCACACTGGTGATATTTATTGAATTGATGTTTTTATCAGATTAACCAATGAATAATGTCAAAAATTATCTTGTATATTAGTTTTATTTACTTAATATCTATATATATAAATACATACATACATACATACATACAT